AATATTAACTTTCAACTTCCTAACCTTAGAAAAAAGCAATACGCATAAAAATTAAGAATGCTCGGATATTTCTTGTCAGACGTATTTCATACCTACTTGATGTATAGGTTCTTTGTTTGTTTGTATTTATTTAAAAAAATATTTTTAACAAAATAACTTTATATACTACATAGACCACCAAACTCGGTGTCAATCACAACTGTGGAGTTTTGAAGAAAAGGACAAACTCAGTATTATTATTCATCTTTTTTATCTTCATTGTTAACAGTTAAGTATCTTTCTCCTACACACGCGCACATACAGACACACGCACACACACGTTATTATTATGTACCATTAACATCATGAATATCAATGGATTTATTTTCGCATTTAAAGTTGGTAGTTATGAAAGTTGGATCACCCAATAGTTTGTTCCGAACATTTCAAATGTTCGTGCCAAAAGTTAATATTAAATGGCAATGCTATTTACATCAGTGATCGCACCGTATATGCCCTTTCAGTTGGACCTTAAAATTACGTTGATGATTTTGTTGCAGAAAAAAAACCACAAGATATTACACGATTGCTGAACGTATACACAAAGCTGGATTACATTTATGTGAAATTTGAACCTGGATTAAAAGATTGTAGCATTTCTATCCAAAAACCTTTGACGTACTGTTATGCAATATTGCATTTCTTACCTATTGTGAGACAAGGATTTTTTTCCTCAGTTTTGGACTCGTTCCATCTTTGGCGTGCATAATTCCTTCAAATCATCACAACGCAAGATTACTTAATATTTTTGTTGATCTCTGTTACGTTGAACAATACAAAATGGCTACAATAGCGAGGAACTAACTTATTTGGACTCGAACAATAGAAACTATTCGATAAAATCTAAGAATATGTGTTATGTTCAATAATATTATTTAAATAAGCAGGTGTCACTTACAAACATGTATTTTCCTTGTTTTTATATCAGGAAAAAATTCAAAACAGTCTGAATAGACTTCAGTTGATTCCTACGGTAAACAACCGCATTAATGTAGTACTTTCGAGGAGTTAGAGATCATCCGTTATGAAGCCTTCATTACCTTTTAACCATTAGGCCTATGTGTATACATAGGAATTACCTGAAGAAGAAATGTTTGAAATTTCTTTTTACTGTTGCAAGTGAAATAGGCAATGAGAAAAATAGAACGCGAAATATAGGAGACATATTGCTGTTTGTATAACGTTCATAGTGTGAATATTTCTTTTAGGTCGCTTCAGTATATATGCAAAAAGGCACTTAGCGCCCAATTTCAGCTTTATAATACAGACAATAATGTTAAAAACCCGGACATTAAAACCCCACCCCTAAAAAGGAAGTGGATAACAGGGATTATTATTATTATAATTGTTGTTATATATAGAAAAGACACGAGACGATAGTAAAAATGATCTCTAGACAAATAGATTCATAGATGGCTTTTATTTTCTTCTTTTTGTAGTCAGTTTTCATTTTGTCAATAAAAATTATTTCCGCTCCTTTTCACTACTTTGACGATTTTTTTCGCGATTCCGTATGGTTTTGTCTAGAGCGAATGTATTACAAGACAAAACATTGCGGGCACAATTTATATCATTGCGTCCGTCCGTATGTTGTCGATTTTGAGCATAAGTTTTATAAGTTGGGCAATAATTTTAATTTCTAGGATACCTGAACTCAGTGCCGTCTTAAGGCATGGGCTCACTGGGCAGTTTCCCAGGGCCTCACGCTTCTAGGGTCATCATACCCATATTGTTGATGAATAGTAGGGCCGGTAATGGGGCTCGAGTGCATTGCTTTGCCAAGAGCCTACAATGTTGTTAAGACAGCACTGCCTGAACTCCTCTACGTCAAAAATGTTACTTTAACGGAGTGGAGACGGGGGGGGGCTGTTCTTTTGTATGGGTTAGGGGATTTGTGATTAAAAAAGAAACTTTTATTCAATTTGTTGCCGTTAAGATCTTTGGGCACTTTTGCCTTATAGTCATCTGCTATGCTGGATCCAGATATTGAGTGTAGAGACTGTGGGCCTGTGTTCAGTCCAGCATTCTCCACTTCTCATGGCGTTTGTCAATTGGACATTCTGTCTGACACTTTTCCTGTCGATGACATTGTTAATATGATGCCAGAGCCTTGGACGTGGGTACATCAAAGGCGTCTTGTTGTAGTTTGGCATGCGAAATACTGTGTTAGTCATGAGGAAGTTAGGTACAGCGCATTTTCTCAGTAGATTTTGCAAAATCTATTTTTAAGTCACCAAGGATGATGAGTTATATCAGTCTTTGGTGTATCTGCAATAAGAGATTCCAGATTTTCATACAATATGTCGCTGATCTCATCTGGGCTGGTCATGGTGGGTGGCACTGATGATAGTTGTATGTCTTTTTCTTTCTTTCAGACAGTGGTAATCTTATTTGCATTATTCTTTCATTCACTCACTTTGGGAGATGTGAGCTTTCTCCCAGGCTCTGATTTGACTGCAAACCCAACACAATTTTTGGGTCAATTTTCTTTACGTCGGCCAATCCAGAAGAAATTTCAACCGGTTCCTACTTAGGTGAGTTGTCCTTCCTCAATAAGTCGAGTTTCACTTAGGGCTACTATGTGAATGATGTATCTAACCGGTTCTCTACCAACCATGATTGTTCTTCTCTATTGTCTATATTTTGCAATACTGTCTAATAGTATGCTTAAGTTCAAGGCACCAATTTTGAGTTGCGTTTTTTTTTTTTCTTCTTTGCTTTTTGGCCACTAAGATGGGATCTGTGTCAGCACGCTGTGTGCTGACCAGAGTTAAGGTGAAGCAATCAATGTTTAGAGAATCTTTTCTAGTTCATTCCTCGTGCTTTAAAGGTTAACAGTATGATCCAAAGAATGGCTGCTCGGTTATGCAAGGGGCTGTTGAGTCTTACTGCTGCTTCGGCCATTGAAAAACAACCCTATGGACTAAGTCGCCCATGTGCATGTCTGCTGCTACATATCTCAATGAATCCACACCTGCTGCTTTGCCGCTCGCCCACCGCAACAGGATTTAAAAGTGTTTGGTAAGTTAGAGGAATAGTGTTATGACTTGTACATTAGTTGGATTTAAGTGAGAGAAAGTTGCACAGAGTTTCCCTCACTCACTCATCCGGGCCTCTCTGTATCCAGTGGCATCGGTAGTTTCGAGACGTCTTAAGATACGTCTGGATACTGTAGTTGTCCATATGTTCCGTCTGCACAAGATGCGGATGCTGTGTACTGTCCACAAAGATTTTGCCATCTGCCTTCAAAGCCGGGGGATGTTCTCTGATCAACCAGATGGTCTTTCAAGAGAGAGCCAGTTGTGGCTATCCATTTGACAGTCGCAGATAGTGTCGTCTACTATTACTTACGGCAATGCCTGGCCTGACATGAAAAGAACTACCATCGGTTTAATCACCTTACTTCAGAGACATGATTATTTAACCAATGACAGTGTGAGAATAGTATCTTGTAGCGTCATACTCGCATCAAACTACTGCAAAGGTGTGTAAAAACAACAAGAAAGAAATAAAGAAACTATATGGCAGAACTCGGAAAACTTAAAATTTCTGATGTACGATGATATAGAATAATAGTGACGTTATAGAAAATACCGCACAGATGTATTACAAATAATCGATGAAAGAAATAATTAAGAATATTATGAAAATTGAAAACTAATTCTTAATTAACATTATAAACATATAAAAAAATTACAAATTATATAATTAAAGTTTCACAAAAAAGATTTATTTAAACGATTATTTTAAGCTATGTCCGACTTTCTGTCAACAGAACAGAAAACAACGGTCTCCTAAAGTTGTGACAAAATGCTACATTTGTTCTCTCTCTCTCTTTTTTTTCTCTCTCTCTCTCTCTCTCTCTCTCTCTCTCTCTCTCTCTCTCTCTCTCTCTCTCTCTCTCTCTCTCTCTCTCTCTCTCTGTTGTACATCGATTAATAAACAAATGCTAACATTGATAACTTTGATATTAATATATTTACAAAAATCTAAGATATGTTCAGTGATTCGCTCACGCTTGACACGTCATTATGGTGATGTTTAAAATACACGTGACTTAATCTCCTCCCTCGTAGCAGAAATATAATTTTGGTATTAACCTGCCAAATATCGATTACCAACTTTCGATTTTACTTAAGCTTTGACCCATGGATGTATCGTACAAGGAATGCCACTATTATAAAGTAATGCAAAATGTGATGGAGGTGGGGCGGGTAAGAGTACAAGTAATCAGCTATCAACGGTTGAATAATATGGCTATGGTACATAGGAGAGACCGTATAAACCAATTCGCGATAGACTTTGTTCTATATGTAAATTCCTTGAAGATGATTGTCATTTTGTAATTGAATGATTATTGCGTAATGATCTAAGAATATATATATATATACATATATAAAAATATAAAATTATATATATATATATATATATATATGTGTGTGTGTGTATATATCTATATATATATGTGTGTATATATCTATATATATATATATATATATATATATATATATATATATATATATATATATATATATATATATATATATATGTATATATATCTATATCCATGTATATATATATATATATATATATATATATATATATATATATATATATATATATATATATATTTATATAGACATATATATAATTTGCAGAACTTACAAATACCAAGAATATATGAATTTTAATTAATTTAGCCACTTACAGATATTAAACTTGTAAGCATAAATTTAATATCCTACATTCAGTTATTTAGTAAATATTTTAAATGTCCATTGCGTTACTACTAATTTCAGTTACATAACTTCCTGTTTATCTTCATATTATAGCCTGATTTTAAAGTAGCTGTCTCGCTTCCTATGAGTTACGATGTGAATTAATCTGTTTATTGACTTTCATCGATTTGCATGCATTTGTAATTTCTTATTTTACTTTAATTGCTTCGTAAAAGTGAGGTCGCTTTGGTTGCCTAGTGGTTGGATTGTTCGCCTCAGATGCGAAAGGTCGCGGTTTCGAACCCCGTACGAGTCAGAAAAAGAAATTTAAAAATGGTACAAACAACTGCCTCGCTTGGCGGTAGCATTAAGAAATCTGTGTTACGACTGTTCGGCCTGGTGCCTGGATAACGTGACTTGGTAGGGGACATCATGCTGCATGCCTGCGGCATGATGCTCCCATGCTAGACATCACTATAAACTGTCACCCTGCAGACATCGTAGCGATATGACTGAAATATTCTTAAAGCGTCTTTCAAAATTTAAATTACATGCTCACACACACACTCGTAAAAGTGATGATAACTTGTTTATTGTACGACCCGACATTTAATTAATTTAATTGAAAATTTGTCAACGTATGCTATTGTTGGAATGAGTAATGATTCTCCTTTCTTCTTTTTGATCTACAAAAGAAATAAAGCAGTTTTCTTGCTATCGGATTTTCCACGGTATTTTTTTTAAGGATTACGCTGGCGGTTTCCAAGCAGGATTTGCTTTACGTGTCGATAAGAAAGATTGTAGTGGCAAAACGCGGTCATTTCACATCATGATGTTATCCAAAAAGGTCAAGGACGCCAATGGTGCAGTTTTATCTTCTAACAGTTACCTACAATTTTTACATTAGACCAGGCAGGTAAAACTTCAGGAACTAATCTCTACAAAAAGTAAATAACAAATAGGATTTTTGTTGTAAGCAGTAAAAGATAAATATGTATTTGCATTGTTACGCGACAAAGGCTCGTACTCAGTAATAAAGAAAAAGTGTAAGCCAACAAGCTTTGTAAATTTAAAAAAAAATAAACAATTTATTTCCCTAAACAACAATGCAAAAATTGGTAAATAGGACTTTTACTTTATGAATATAATCCAAATATGAATCTAAAAATAAAACATGAGTCCTATCACTAAATAGTCTTATACGAATCCAGTTGCATGTTGTTCATTTCAAAATATAAATATCCAGATGCTTTCCTTTTGTAAAGAAGAAGTATATTTGTGGAAATGGCACGTTTACAACATGAGCGGCATTTCATGGCAATATTTCAGTACTTGTAACGCGATATATCACAGTAAAAAGAAACAAACACATTTGTGAGCCTAAAAGAATGCTTTTGAAGAAATAATGCGTTTCTCATTTGCATCTGATGAATGTGTAATTCATTGTTATTCAAATTTTGACAGACTGCAAAGTTCTTTGAGCAATATAAATCTAAACCAGTCCAGAGTAAGTATTTTTAGAACGGCTATATTCAGACATGACTAGATCAAATAGTCCTATGGGTGGAAACATGAATACTATCATAATTTCTCATGAAATGTCAGCTGAAATAAGCCCCACACCAACGAAAGAATAAATTTAATTGTAAATTTTAATTTAGTTTTATGTCCCAATAGCATATGGAGGCAAAACATTAAAATTACATTACTTTTTTGTTTTTGTTTCCTTCTAATCATCACACGATAAAGAAACTGAGTTGATACCTTTCATAGTTTAGAATGATTTTTTAAAAAGGGGATTATATTATATTATATTATATTATATTATATTATATTATATTATATTATATTATATTATATTATATTATATTATATTATATTCAGAGGCGTATCGAGGACATATGGCACCCACGGTAAAAACTAAAACTGCATTCCTATCAAAGCTTTGAAAGTATAAAAACATTGTTCTGCTCACAGATTTTTGCGGCCCACTCCCCTTTCCTCAAATAACGCCAACGGTACATGCGGTGTCATGCCACACCCTCGCTACGCCTCTGTGTATATTCTTGCCATTCCGTAAAATTTAGGCTTCAAAAAGACACAATCCATGACATAAAAGTGCGTGTAAGTCGGTTTCGCTGGTACTGCTTATTCCAACTATTTTCCCATACACATACTGTTTTTTATAAATTATAAAGTGTCTTTGTCTCCGTACAGAATGAATTTATAGCAGAGATACAAAAAATAACCCTGTACAGAATGACTTTATAGCAGACAGATACAAAAATAACCCTGTACAGAATGACTTTATAGCAGACAGATACAAAAATAACCCTGTACAGAATGATTTTATAGCAGACATATACAAAAAATAACCCTAATCTGTTACGTCACTTGCATATTTTCTGTTTATTAAAAATAATATTCAATAAAACATTTCTTGAAAACATTTGATTCATAAAACGTATCATGTGCGTTTGATTTCTATATGAAACAAAATTAACATTCATACATTTGGTACCCTGTAACAGTTTGCCTTGTGTACATAACATTAATGAACCTCTTTTTAACTCTTTTTAATAAATGATTTGTTTCTAGTCCTATCATCTTGGTCTTTGTTCATCGTCTTTGACAATATTCCAGCCGTTATTAGTTCAATTGCCGTTGAAATGATGCAATATTCCAATGTCCTTGCACGTGTATGAACTCTAGAAAGGTCAGTCAAAGACGCCCGATTGCTTAAAATCTACCTTTTATTACCAATCTTTTGCGACAAGGCAAACTTGACCTATTTGGAATATTTCCAATGTGACAATCACCTTAATCAAAATGTAAACGGTAACAGACAATCCCCCAAGCGGGACCTACGTTGTTTTTTTTTTTTTAAAGCTATATCTCTACTATTGAATAATGGTAGGAAGAAATTTTGGACTAGATTTCATACTTTGTCATAATAGATTAAAAACTAAATATACTATTCTGCATTTTTTATAACAAAAACTATGGTTTTTATGTGTTCAAAGGCCAATATCATACTACTCTATAATTGTACCCATGTCAAGGTGTCATACGAAAATGCTTTGTTAGAGATTTTCCAGTATGTTTTCCAATTATTCTTTATTATAATGCACTTTTTAAGTGCTGTTAAACAGTTTGTCGTTGCGCAGCATGACGTCAATGGGTTACACTTACCACGTGTTTACATTAGAGTAAATTAAGGCAATATTTTTAAAATAACAGTTGAATTCCTTTTTGGAAAGAGAATAAAACAATAATAATTATCAAGAATTAATGGTACGATAATAATAAAGTACACGCGATTCCTAATTACCCCTATAAAGTGACACACAAGCGGAGGCAAGATATCCAATCCAACCAAATGTTTCGTGCGACTCCACTAGTATTCGGTTAGAAGGCCCATTCAACAGTGTAGGACTCAGGGTACTAATGCAGTTCCCATAGTAAATCTATGCAAACACCATGATATTAGAAATTCAATAATTTAACATTTCTGAGTGCTCATGATCAAGCATGTATTTATCAGTACAGATGAAACATGGATCACAGCTTCTGTTTAAAGAAAAGGATACGAGCCGCGGCATATTCTGGACCCGTATGTGTTTGAAACATGTGCTTTCAATTCCGCCCCATGTCAGGTGATGCTTGCACTAATGAGTGTTCCAGACTCAAGACTGTTAAAGGACTGAAATTCCATCAATAAAACAATGTCTCTATTTGTTTAGTTACAACTAGATAAGCTCTCAAAAGTTATTTTTTCTAAACAAAAATAACTTTCATTTTCAACCATTCCTGACCACCCAAACAAGTAAATTACTCTATTTTATGTTCAGCCATTTCCAGGCTGGTTCACATATTTTCATACAATTAGTATCGTGTGATCTATACTGTCTACTCTTCTTCGCCACAAAACTCAATTCTTGGACCCCTTTTAAATACAAAAAGCTAATTCATTGGAATGTTGGGTCCCCACTATCCTGCCCCAACCCCTTTCCCGTAGTTGTTGGGTGTTGTTCGGGCTGGTGCTAGGCCACATCATTATCAGAATTTGTGTATTTGAAACGTGTGTAAAAATACCACTTTAAGTCGAAAATGACGTCATTGTGCTATGTACAGCAAATCATTAATTACAAAAGCATCCAAATATACTTCAAATTCGTTTTAAGACACAATCCAGCCGTGTAGTTTTGGTCATGTCATAATTTGTGCTTATATCCATCTCAGAAATGAAGTATATAAATGGAAGTCGAGTTCTGTCAACCATTTGCCTACCAAGGCTTGCATAAAATATAAATTACTCGAGTAGTTCCGTTAACTTCGTTTGAAATGGACACTCCTGTAACATGTTCTAAATGCGTGATTTCCCTACACTACTTTGCGTTTATACTAAATACACATTTTACTTTACGTAAAGCATTCTGTTTACCACGAACGTTGTATTCACACTATTAGAGTTCTTCTCAATTTAAATAAAATTTATAACATTAGGTCCCCGAGTTCCGAGTGGTCTAAAGCGCTCTCCGTTACGGATCACTGCTATCTCACCTCGGCGTGGGTTCGAGTCTCGGATTTGGCCAATGTGGGTATGTGAGAAAGCCTACCAGTAGCTTCTCGTGGGTTGATGATTCTTTCCGGGGTTTTCCAGGGTTCTTCTTCCACCACTGATATTGGCCGCTATTTATAGACTATCTTGTGCTGAAAAATGGCGATAAGCACGATAATAACAACAACAATCAAACATATACTTTATCTTAAATCAGTCTTTTTGGAAGATCCTCTGTGTTTAATATAAAAGCGTTTTGAACCTTAAATCTGTTTTTTTTTTTTTTTACAAACTCTGATTTTGATGTGGGGTGGAGGTGGGTAGAGAAATATTTCAAGGATCAAATCATTGACTACAACGAGTTCGCAGAAGAATCTCACTAAGATCAACGTGCAGTCTGTAAGGTACTTCAGAACAATAGTAAACAATTACATGCGTCATGTTGTTATTGTCATTTATATGAGTATAAAGTTATGTGGCAGAGGTAAGGCCTGCATCTAAATAAACAAATGCACAATCTGTAATATAATCCCAGAAAAAAAAGGCATCTTAAATGTCACCTTGTGGGTGTGATCTTTTTTATATTTTAACGTGAAGTCAATTAAGGAAGTTTAAGATATCTTATTAAACATAGTTTTGAGGGAATGTGGTATATATATATATATATATATATATATATATATATATATATATATATATATATATATATATATATATATATATATATATATATATATATATATATAGGTTTGACT